GGTGTTGTCATCAGTCCCGTATCATGGAGAGATAACTTCCTGTTAGCCTGGAGTTTTTGAGGACTGCCCCCCACTGCAGGAGAGAAGGACCTATTTGAACAGTCCACCATAGGTGCCTGATGGACCCTGAGTCATGGCTAGGAGGGCTTTTGCACAATTACATCTTATACACCAGTTGCACCCATTCCTAGATTGGGAGGCACTGCTTTTGATCACAAACACCTTAGTACCTCTCAGCTAGCCTATTAGAACATATTCCACCTGGGGCTGCCCTTGAAGAGTATTCAGAAGCTTCAACTGGTCCAGAATGCAGCAGCACAGGCAGTACTGTGCTCTCCATGGTACTCTCATGTAACACTGTTCTCATGAGCTGCACAAGCTCTCAGTAGGCTTCCAGGTGCAACATGGTGGCTGTCACCTTTAAAGCTCTACATGGCATGGGAGCAGGTTACTTGCAGGGCCCCCCTCCCTGATGGTTTCTGATCCCTGCAGATCAAGCAAAGTAGGCCTGGTCTGAGTCCCATTAGTGAATCAGTGTTGCTTGGTTGGTCCTTGGGTTAGGGTTAGGGTTTATGACCTCACTGACCTCAAATTGACTAACACTTGGCTGAACCTGGGTAAACCTGGCTGCCATCAATTCCTTTTTTAAAAAATTAATTTTTATTAAAAGTTTTTACATAGCTAAAAGACAAGTACTGAAGTATATAAAGAAAAGAAAGAAAAGGAGAAAAGGTGCAGAAAAGAATATAGTAAAAGAAAGAAAAAAGAAAGGTTAGTTAAGGAAGCGACTTCTACCCTTCCTTATAGCAGTTATAGACAAACTCATTATCCTCCCTCCCTCCCTCCTTAACATTACAATAATCCCTTCAGCTCCTTATTCAATCTTTTTTCAATCAAATCCAGAAATCACCATTTCCCTTTTTTCCATTTTCAGCAAAAAGTCCATAAAAGGTTTCCAGTCCTTTATAAAAAGACTTATTGTTTTGTCCCTGACCAAACAGGTCACTTATGCCATCTCTGCTAGTTCTGCCATCTTTAAAATCCATTCCTCCATTGTGGGTATTTCAATATTTCATCTTTGTGCATATACAGTCAGGTCCAGAAATCTTGGGACATCGACACAATTCTAACATCCTTGGCTCTATACACCACCACAATGGATTTGGAA